CCAAATCCAATAGCTCCAGCCAGCACAATCCATTTACTTGCTTTCTTGCATGTTGCACAGATTGTTATCCAGCTTTGCTATTTAAGAGTCTGAAATCTGAATATTTCATACAGCTTTAGGTACAGCTGAGTTTACTGAGAACAGGAGAACCAGGGTGCCTGACTGGAACGCCGATTGCAGCTTTGCAAAGCTCCACATTTCATAACAAAGCAAGGACCAACCCTGCTCATCTTCAAACTACTGCAGGGCATGAGAATAAACTGCTACACTCAGGTATTGCCAACATTTGAATTATGCAAGTTTTCCAGGGCTAGCTGTCTTCGGCAAAATCAAAAAATTGCAAATAAATTTCAGTTTCCATATAAAAACTTAAAAACTATTTCTGCTCTATCTTTCCTTAACCCTCGTGACTACCAAGAAAAGCTTTAGAAGATTTAGTAGATGCACCCTAAAGGCTCAAAAACCTGGGGGAGAATATGAAGAACCTGTTTGTCTTTTTAAAAAGTCTCATGACTTATACGGTGGTATCTTGCTTATGGGAATGGGTGGATCCGATCTGTTTTTTGATAGCTTGAGTTTGGCAGTAACGTTAACTTTTACTTACCTTGACACACAATTTTAATTTTTACTTTCCTGCTGCAGCCATGCTGTTCCCCGTGTAAGCAGCTCTGCTGGCAACAGGTGATTGCCAAACCTTTTTAAGGGGGAAAAGCCAGTACAGTTATTTATTTATTTACTTACGCTCAGAGTGGGTGGGGAGACCCGCACACAAGTTACTTCCACAAATAAAAAGAAGTCTGAGGTGGCACACTTTTGAAACCTCTTGTTTGCTTCTGCTGCAGAAATGGGAGGAGATATTGCAAGCCTGGGTATATGAGAATTCTCACAGAGGAAGTATCCCACAATAAATGACAGCTCCAGATAAGCTTCACCCAACTTTACCCAATTCATGGGGCTTCTCTCACAACCTTAACAACTGACTGTCTCAGCATTACAAAATGATAACTGCTTGATCCTCTGCTGCATGGCTTCCCAGAAGGTTTTGCTGTAACATGAGCTCCTTGCCCCCAGTATGCATGTGAGAAACTTTGTTCAATTTAGACTACTAAGGCTTTTGTTTTTAAACACTTCAAGAGAGTTTCAATTGTTAAAGGTTTTCTTTCTGAAAGGACTGATTAACCTGCTTATATTCTTACTTGTGTTCTCAGGTCATTAATTAAAAAAATAATCAAGGATGCTTATAAAGTCCTCTGCAATCCAATCTCAATTTGTCATCATTAATTAGCTCAACATTGCATACAAATGAAGAGCTAACCTGATTAGACAGCATGTTTTACTGGAATTCCTACTTAAGGTCATGAAAGACTTCAGAGAGAAAATTTGCAATATTTTCAAAGTGAGCTGCTCATACATATGAAATCACTCTCACCTCGCAGCAACTAGTGTTTCTCTCCAGTTTTTAGCTAGTTCCCTCCCCCCTTTAATTAGGATCCCATCACAAACCCGAGCAGCGAAGCAATCCTCCTGATGTTACAATCATCTCCTTACCAGCTTATCCTATACCAATCCTCCTGATTTTGGCACTGTTCTAGGAAAGTAAACCTGCCTGTAGAAGTCCAGAGAAATTGGAAAAAAAACAGTACAAAAGACAGTTTTGGGGGGTGAGGGTGGAACGTAGGGCTGTTTGCAGTGAACTGGTATTTAGGTATTTGTTAGTAGTAGTTTCTCTAGAAGAAACCTGGAGATCTACGTATGAATTCAGGTCATTCCCTCCAAAGCTAAGCACACAAGTAACCAAGAAGTCTGATGCATCTTCAGATGTACGTCTTTAACCCTCGCAAAGCAGCTTTTGCTTTTCGAGGAGAAATAACCCAGTCCTCTCACCAAGCCCACAGCCTTCGCTCCCATGACCTAATCTAACATGACTCAGCCCCGAACAAGCTCCTCTGAGCTACAGCAAAGCACCCTGCCAGCCAGGACAGTGGATCCACCACCACCGAGCCTTCCCAGCAGGGCAAGGTGGGTCATCTCAGCTAATCCCCTCCTAAACAGGGGAAAGTGCGATACAATGAGTTTCCTTACTTCATACCGTTGCCCTGGGGAACACAGGAGGAAAAAAAAGAACTAAGAAACAAGGCTTTCAAGTTTTGGACTCTTAATAAGGGTGGGGCCATCTAGTAATTAAACTTTTAATAGGTCATTGCAGTGGAAGAAACTCTTCCAGTTGGGTAAGTTCCTAATCCATCATTAAAAAAAAGTCAACAGGCATTAATCAAAGCACATGAAGTCACATGGGGGGGGGGGGGGAAGAATGAGCAACTCAGAGAACTTGCTCTTGCTGAGAGGATGGGGCAATCCTTCTTTCATCAACATTTCGCGCATGTTTCCACATTTCTCAGGACAGCAGCGGGAAAGAGAGCCTTCACATCCCTCCCCGCCCACCCCACTGATAAAGCTGTCGAACACCTATTACCAACTGCTCAACAGCCCATGTGAAATGAGTTGGTGGATTAATTAGCACAAGGGCAGAGCTCTGAAGATGGAAAGATGCCTGAGTGTGAAATGCATATTGATTGAAGGTCCCCAGCAGCCACCACAAGACTGTCATCAGCCACTGACAGCACACAGCAGGCTGCTCCTGCACAAGCAGCTAAATCCAGGTTACCTGACTCAGCACAGGGACACCCAGACATTCCTCCATGATCAGAGAGCTGCTTAGGAGTCTATTCCTTCAGGAAAATAAAGACTTTTCCCTAGGCAGATGGCAACAGCCACAGGCAGCACATCTTCTGTTTGTAGCATCACCCATGTCGGGGCAAAAGAAAATGAAGTGTGCTGGTCTCCAGGCTGCTGCACATTTGATGATCAGTTACCAAGGAATACTTTGTAAGACCAGCATGAAACTGCATCTTTGACTACCACACAGATTCATATTAAAATCTCAGCCTCACTTCTGCCCCCCAGAAAGCCACTATCACTACAGTGAAACATCTCAAGTGTTTGCTTCATTTTAAACTTTGGATTAGCTCACTTGTCTTCAGCTCTGCTGGATCAGCCTACTACATATGTTCAAAATGCATTTCAAAAGACCGCTTCTCCCAGTTGAAAGGACAGCATCAAACACATTGGTTCCCTGCAGCTGCATTAGATAATTCTTTGTACATATGTATCAAAAGGGAATGTCTTTTTCTTATCTCCTCAAAGGACCCTCTCCAGAGCAGCTTGCAAAAAATCCAAGGGCAGTGTTTTCTCGCTCTGAGAAATGGAAAGGAGACCTGACTGATATTTCCTTCCTTAAAGGAAAGGAAAAATAGTGTTTAGTGTAAGTGGAGAAACCTGGGCATGAAAACAAGCATGAACGAGGCACTGCTCCCAGTACAGGTACAGAGAAGATGCATTTCAACCTCACATTAAAAAAAAAAAAAAAAAAAAAGCTTCCACCCTTTTACCCATAAGCAATCACAAATTTGTTCTCAAGCAGATATAATACATTTTAACCCCATGAAACAAGTTTTAAACAAGGTTATTGTTAGCAGCTTTAGACAAAAACTTTCTGAAAAATTTACAAAGGATGCAGAACTACACCAACTTACTGTTAAGGGGCATCTCTTTCCATCTGGCCACTTAAGAGCACACAGAGGTTCCACTGCTTCATCACCAGCAGTGCCGAGGACTTTTTGTTAAATATAATCTAGCAGGAACTGTAACTAAATTTGAGATGGAAGTTGTTCTTTAGTGGGGAAGAAAATAATGTTCTTAGCTTTTGATTAAAAAGTCTTTTTTTGTTTTGTTAAAAAGTCACTGCTTTTGTCCAGGTAGAATGACTTCTGAAGATGGGGAAAAAAGCTTCAAATAATCCCGATACCATTAAACAAAAAGGTACCATAAAATGAAAGTACTCAAAACAAAACAGGTTTGATTGAAGAAAAATAGAAGACAATTCATAATATGCTGAACACTGAGATTTGAGCTGATGCTTGAAGAATCACTATATGCGTTTAAATAAAGTCTTTTCACAAGGGATTCATATCTGGTTTACTTAATTATCAGGCACAGCAGGGGTTACTGGTAACACAGTTCAGGCATTTAACTCTAGAGTTATTCATAGGACTGAGGCTCAATTTGTCTAACCCTCTTCACTCACTACACAGAGAAGCACATATAGGGGATTATTCACTGCACCAAACTTGAGTGCCTGAAGTAGAGGAAGGCAAATATTGACCATCTTTGTAGTGGAGAATAGTGCTGTCTTACACATTTCTAGAGCCCTAAATCACACCAGGACACACAGCTCCAGCAGTGCTGCCTCCTAGGTTATGAGGTTGAGGTTTCAAGAGTTTGAACAACCAAGCCAGCTCTAGAAATCAAAACTTATTTATTTTATAAATAGAAGTAAACAAAAACCCTACTACCACTACTCTGGCAGCTGGAGGAAAATGCTAAGTTACAAAATTAACCTACATACTGCAGGACTGACCAGAGCTGGTGACACTGGGGGTTCTCACACCATCTACAAGGGGGACAAGACAAAAGAAAGCCCCACTCTGGGTCAGATCAGGAAGCATCATCTCCATCCCGTACCTCCATCCTGCTGGCACAGCCTTGCACACTGAACCTTATGCAAACCCACGGATGCTGAAGAACACCAAGGGAAGCACTGAAGCTATCCCTAGGCCCATCTCCTGGTTACACTCCAGCATATGCTAGACCCAAATCGAGAGCCACTGTTTCATCACGCATGGTCTTTAAGCAATTGTCTTTTTGCAAGGCATTTTATTCACCTGGGATTTAGTAATCCTATTGAGGGTTAAATTCCCACCACACCCTCCCAGAGCAACCAAGATAAATCTTTCCCTTCTGTGTGTGTGACATGTCATGCACTTGAGAGGACACAGGTTACTCCATTCTTGCACAAGCCTGGATATGTATCAGACCAGCAGTGTCGCTACAAGCTGCAGGGCTGAAGCCAGTGAAGGAGCAAGGCTACGTTGCATCCTTACCGTCCATGTTGCTGACTTTGCTGTGCTGGACTGTTGAAATGATACATCGAAGCTGTGAGGTCCCGGGTAGTCTGTGTTGGAAGGAATGGCTGGGGAGGGCGAGAGGGCATCAAAAGTCGAGCTGGGCTGGGCATAAGGCGAGGGCGCCGTGACGCTGTTCTGCGTGTGCTCCGTGTTGTAGGGGCTGGTGGAGGAGGAGCCATTCTGAATCTGCTGGTCCATGCTGTTCAGGAGCCCCAGGTTCGTGTACTGCGGCTAGAGGCAAACAGATGCACAGAAGTGTTACAGAAGCAACGTTAGCACAGACTGGCTAGCAGCAGCACGGCCTTCGTGATGGAGGATGTACAGCATGCTCTCAGCACCACCCTACATGTGTTACTCAAAGAGAAGGAATATTTGCAGAGAATATACCCAATTTTACATCGGTGACTGAAACAAAGAAGTAAATGAGACAAAGAATAAAAGCTTTGCACGGCCACACAGTATATCAACAGCATGTAGCTGAGCTGGGAAACAAGATTGCATACTAGGAGATGATTCACAGGGCAGCAAGCTATCGCAGGGAGGCAGGCTCCCCAGGTCTACCAACACCCAGATCCAGACCTTTTCTTTTGCAGGGATTGCTATAACTTGATGAAAATCATCAGGTTCAGTACAGTGCAGGTGACTCCATCTTCTACAAGGCTACATCATCCGATGGTCTTGTGTTCGACCCAAAGACCATTCCTCTTCTCACAGATCAGACCATACTATGTAGGGTGACACTTAGGAGCACTAACTTGGGCAGTTATTAAAATTGGGAGCTAGGAAAATACTCTAGGGAATGAGTTACACTATTACACCATTCTTTTATTCCTCCAAAAGAGCAAGCACTGGCTGCAGACACGCAGGACAGCAGGTGAGCGGGACACGAGGCTCAGCCAGGTACACGTAGTCTTGTTCTTGTGCTCATCTGAAGGGCATCAGTTGTGCCAATCTTAGGGACAGATGTCTGTGGTTCACACACACACCCCCATCAGCTCAGGGATCACCCAGGGAACATGCAGTGACAAACACACCTAGTTCTGCCACTAGCAGAGGACGTGGCACACAGAAATTGGGCTCCTCCCTTCATTTGAGGGGACAGGCACCCCATTTCCCTCCACATCCTACAGTTTCAATCCCACCCAGAGCTCTAAAGCCTGGGTATCTCCCAGTACTTCAGCCAGCCTGCCAAAGACCTTCCTCTTTACTACAGTCACTCCTTTTCTAGAGAGGCTCCAGGACAAGTCTGTATTATAAGCCAAGCAGCAGAGGCTCTTTGCCTCGCTGAAGCCTCAAGAGCACCAGCCTCACCTTGGGCTCTCCCTTTTGCTTCTGTCTGGAAAAGGCTAATATTTTTATGGAGCATTTAATCAAGAGCCCGAGGTGAGGCTGGTGTTCCTGGGGCTTCAGTGAGGCACATGGGATCTTGCAGAGGTGGTGCAGCTTGCTATTACGAGCTGAGACGCAAAAAGGTTTTGTGGGGAATAATGTGGGGGAATTAATTTTGAGAGCTGGGATGGTCTGCAGAGGGAGCAGGCAGAGAGGAGGGACAGCTGGCTCATTCCCTTGCTCTGCCAGCAGCACACCATGTCCTTGGGCAAGCCACCTTGCCTCCCCCTCCACCCTCAGCCTACTTGAGGCTGCAAGGTCTCCAGGGCAAGGATTGCTCCTTGCTATGTAAAAAGCACTGCGCTTAATGGGCCTCTGCTTTGGCTAAGGCCTCCAGGCAGTGGAGTAATAAAAGCAATTACATATTGAGTCCTAATCCTGGATGAACCAGTGACTCTCCGTGTTGCCTCGGGTTAGTCATTTACCTTCTCTGCCTCAGTTTCCCCATCCACAGCAGCACAGAAGACGCTGGATGTCCCAGAGCCTCTGTTAGAGAGCCCACAGCTAGGCTCCAGGCACGCAAAGTAGCTGTTGCAGGACAATGATCCAGATGGGATCACCTTCTCCAAATGGAGATTGCAGCTTTGACAATGCAGATGACAGTTATGTCTCATCTCCTGCAGGTTATTCAACCACCCATGCCTTATTTAACGGACCTGGGATGTGCTTTTGCTGGAGGCTGGTTCTGTAACGAAGGTGCTGGGATGCTGATGTGCAGCACCAGGAACACTTTTGCTGGTCAATAATTTTGTGCTTAGTCAAAAAAAACACAACATCTCTCCACCCTTCTGCCCCATAATACAAACAAAGCAGATTTTTCGATCATTTAATCAAAATTAGTCCCACACCTCCAGCCCTAATAACACCTAAAGACACCTCAAAAAAAAACACCGAGGTATCGTTCGGTTGTTTTACTTCTCATGGAGATTAGCATCAGACGCGCTCCCTAACCAGCCGAATGATGAAAAGGCGACTGTGATGAAAACAGTCTCCTAAACCAGCTCAGACAGCAAAACAACAGTGTTTCAGCTTTCACTTAAAGACTGTTTCTCCTAATCCCAGACTGCTGAAGATTGTGGGGAAAGATGACCAAAGGGCCAGTCAGCATTAATGATGCAGCACGGTCTGGAAATGCTGATGGTGCTGCCCGGACGTCAATTAAAAAAAATAAGTACCCCATTAAAATTTAAGATATCCTTATGAGAATCAAAGATCCTTGTCATTCCACTCAGTCCAGGGGCCATCTGTCTAAATGTTACCAGCGGAGCAGCCATTCCACCGCATTTATACACTCGCATGCCACAGCCGAATGCCATGTCCCCATTTGCTCCTTAAATAACTATTAATCTCCTCGCACTTATCCCAGCGCTGACACGAGCAGCTGTCCGACTCCCCTCTCGTCTCCCTCCGAGTCCCACCAGCCTTTCACCTTCCCTGGCCCCTCGCAGGTGCCCCCCAGCCCGGTGACAAAGCGCAGGGAGCCGCTGGCTTGGCGCTAAACCTCCCAGCTATGCCCCGAGGCGGGCGGCGCAAAGAGTTGTTTGCGCTCAAGGGGTCAACATCTGAATTGCTTGCAAGGCCTCCGGAGGAATCAGATAAGGCTCTGGGAGGCACACGCCTTCTGACAACACAACAATTAGAGGGGCAGCAGGCCCGGGGAAGGCGCGCGCTGGAATTCACCCGCGCAGCAGCTCCCGCCGCAATAAAACTCCTGCGGCCCAGCCGGGCTGCGGACGGCGAGCGCTGGCGAGAACAAAGACATCAAGGGCTGCGGGCACGTCTGCAAGGCAGCAGCCTCCAGGGAAGGCTGCAGGGCGTGTGTTTGCACACACAGACGCACACACAGCCTCCCCTCACCATGTACAGAAAGGGGTTGAATTCAGGGATCAAGCCTTGCCCGGTTGGAAGCCCTAAGTTTTGCCCGTACTCTGGTTTTGGTGGGGAATTTGTCTGAAAAAACTGCAGGATCTAGTCCCACCGCTGATGCCTGGCAGAACAAGAGTGCTAGCTAATAGAAAAAAGAAAGCACAGATTATCTAATTCTCAGAGCCTTGGTTCTCTATTTTTTTCCCCCCCACACCAGGTTTCTGAAACTATTAATATCGCTGAGGCACTGCAAAAGCCTGCAGGCGAATTTAACTGCAAATAATTAGAGAGATGCAATTAGATCCCGACTACGTATTTTGGGACATCATTTCGATAATGCATCTCGAACTATCAGTTTCACTTCCTACATCCCATCAGCTCTGCTTTCAAGTTTTCATGCTAACTCACGCTTCTGGGTTAGGAAAGCCGCGGTTTCACTAGAGACACCACTGAATTAAGAACCGGACTGGAGACTGCAGAATCGTTTAATCCCCAGTCCCAGCTGCAGTGGGGCACCTGCCACAAGAGGGCAATGCAAATGCTCCAGTGCACAGAACCCAAACTGGGAACCACCTCTGCAGAAGTATCCCACTTTTTCTGGCTGCAGCCCACTTTCCAGTCCAATGTGTTAAGAAATGAGGCTACGGGATACATCTGCAAAGAGACCCTCTCACTACCCACGCATGAAGGATTGTCACACAAGTGAAGAAAAGCTTACAAGGAGACTTCACAGAAGAAAACAAAAAAGCATCATCCAGCTTTTAACTGCTCAGCTATCAACATCTTGGAGTTTTGAGGTTTTCTACCTGAAAATAAAGTTACCTGCCTCAGGTGTAGAAACCCTTGATGTCTCCAACTCCAGCTATCAAAACCCTTCTCCATATCTCCAAAGAAACGTTTATCTGTGCTGCGTACACACGCTGACAGTCTTAGCTTGTAACTGCTGGATCTACGTGGCTCAAGAGCAGCGTTCAGCTACTCAAAGCCTTGCAAAACACCACCACTGGTGCTTATTCTCCAAAGATATGAGATGATGAAATCAATATAGTAAACTACCATGGACATTAGTAACAAGAAGATTTTTACAAAGCATTTTGCTACTTCTGTGCTTTGCCCCTAACTGCACCCCAACTGATGCACCAAGTCTAGTAGGAGCCAGCTTACGGTGCTATTTCAGTGCTGGACAAGACAAAGATTCCCTTTCCTCTTGGAGAACATTCATCCTGCTGCTTGTGGAAGGTCTGTTTTCCAGGGTGCTTAAGGCTCATCCAAAACAGATACCTGAAGTGTATCAAAAAAAAAAAACACAAATTGAATCAACCTAGTTTTTCAGACCTTCCCACAAGAGGATTTAGTAGGTGGAAATAAAGCACTTAAGCTCAACAGAAGTGCTTCTATCATAATTATTAATCAAGATAGTGCTGACTGCAGAACTGTGCAGCTTCACCAGTTGCTCAGAAGGCAGCTGATACAATATGTGATGTAGGCGAAGTGCTTGTGCCATTACAAAGAAGCGCCAAGAAATTAAGGGTTCCACCCATGCCCCTCAGCTAAAATCAGGGCAGAAGCTGAAACAGGTATCTAACTCATCACAATGAGAGGTGTGATTTGGGTTGTATCTCTCGCCTCTTTTCTCATCAGAAAGACTAAAAAGCCCTCCTGGACTGGCGGAAAGTCTGATGCACAGAGATCTGTGGGAAAGATCTCAGGCTGGCACTCCTTTTGGGAGGAACAGGCTTGCTGTGGACATCACCCAGGCCGCCTCCTGGCCACGGAGGAGCAGTGTATGATCACTTCAACACCAGCTCAGGCCCAAGTGCCTGCTGAGAGCCCGGGTGCTGGCAGCAGGTCACACAGCCTCTGCGCTCCCCCCAGCTCCATTTCTAAAATGCCAGCAAAGCCAGCAGGTCTACTTTGAAGAGGTTTCCCTCCAGACCTACCGTACAGCTAAATACAAACGTTCGGAAGCCCTCAGA